AAAATAAAGACAAAGATTCTGACCAGTGGGCCAAATGGCAGCACCATGACAGAAGAGACTGAGGTTCCATAATCAACACTCTTGCATCAGGAATCAAAAGGTGATTAGCATTAGGTAAATCTGCTGTCAGACACCTTTCCAGAATACTGAGAAGCAATGTCAGTCTAGACTAAGGTGCGCCTGATCCAGTCCATGGTCTTTGCAATTACTTGTTATGCATCAGAGAGCTGGATTAAGGATAACAAAAGAATTGATGACTCTGAGTTCTGGTGCTGGAGAAGAGTTTTGAACATATCATGGATCACCAAGAAAACAAATACATTTGTCTTGGAGAGGGTGAAACGTAGTGTTTCCTTGGCGGCTTTTTGAAGCTCCATCTCACATACTTTGAGCATGTGGCCAGGAGGGACTGATCCTTGGAGAAGGACATCATGCTCAAAAGGGTGGAGGGACAGCATAGGAGAGGAAGACGCCAGATGAGATGGATTGCTACAGGAACTAGGACAATGGAGGTAGTCTTGTTAGTCAGTGAGACTGGCTCAGGACAGGGAGGGCTTCAGAGCAACTGTAAATAGTGTCGCTATGAGTTACAGGTGATTTGACAGCACATCACCAACACGACGTTGGTTTTGTTTTAAAAAAGCTGTACTTTATTCTAATTCACACTTACACTTCTCTTGGTTACCTTATAATGAATCTAAAATAATAAGTGTATTCTTCCACACAGGTCGTAGGCATCTTCCTTTTTTGTTTTTCCCCCTCCATAGTTATTTTAAGTGTTAGTTATGTGATGTAAAAAGACAGTCTGCCTCTGCTCTTAGGAAAGTAGGATAACCATAGTATGATAATGTCACTACTAGAATCAAGGAAAGGGACATTAATTGGTCAGGTTTGTTGGTTCTGATTCACAGTAGCCCTCTGTTGGCTTTGCAAGGCTGTACGTCTTTACAGAAAACTGGTTATCTTTCTTTCTTGAAGTAACTGGTGGATTTGAATTATCAGACTTTTGAGTTAGCAGTCTGAACTGTTATGTACTACTTTGCTAGCTTTCTTCAAAAAAACTCCAAAAATCCCACAAATGGAAAAATAAGAAACCAACACATGTACGAAGCAAGTTCTGTTTTGTTTAAACAAAGACTTATTGCAATGGATAAATCTGCTGCCAAAAGCTTCTTTGAAGTGCTAAAGAACAAGGCAATCACTGTAAAAATCAAGATATGACTGACCCATCCATAGCATTTTTCAGTTGCTTCATATGTCTGTTAAAGTTGAACAATGAATAAAGAACAAAGTAAAACAGATACTTTTCAACTGTGGTTTTGGCGAAGAATATTGAATATACTCGATTAAAAATTCACTGCTGTCATGTTAGAACTGACTCACTGTTGACCTTCCTCCAGTGGGAGGCTATAAACTGCATCAGAAGAGACTGCCCATCTCTCTCTTGAGGAGTCATTGGTGGATTTGAACCAACACAGGGGCTCCACCTCTGGGTTGGCAGCAAAACTATCTATGACTTCACCACTAGAGTTCCACTGGATCATATGCTTGGTAAGTGATAAAAACAAGACTCAACCAAGGGCCTTTCCACTTGAACACATATAATTAAAAATGTGTACGCTAATCTAACATTAGCACCAAACATTAAACATTCTTTAACGTACAATTGGCTCTACTTTTATTTGTAATGATCAGCTCTTTAGTCTTCATGAATGTGTAGTTATATAGCCAATAAAACTTAGAAATTTAGAAAAAAGTGTCTGTTCAGACAGTGCTTTAGCAGCAGTCTTTCTAGAAACTTGGCTTTCCGTTTATAAAAATCTAATGAATCTAATGAATACTAAAATTTGTGAGATAGCTGGAATTTCCTTTTAGGCAACTGCACATTTCATGAAGTCGTACCAACAATGGAGTCATTAACTCAAGAGAACATATCTTATTCCTGTTCCCTCTAGAGCAGGTTGGTAGTTAGTTTTAACTCAGTGAATACTGATTAAAGGATCAAACAAAAGAGTATTTCTAACAACATTCAGTAGTTCACATAAATTATTTGAAAAACACATTTATTCCTTTTTGTATCCTTGACACAATTTATTATAGATCTTAATAAACTAGCCAAATGTACAATGGAGGAAATTACATTTAAAATATGAAAAAGATGTCAATAAATAGCCAAATACTTCAACAAATAAAAGGACTATTTATATTTTCCTTTAAAATAAGCTGCTGATTTAGAACTTTAATTAAAAGAAATGTCATCTATAAAACAAGGTAATTTACAACCTGATCCTTAATTTTTAATAGCAGTTGAATTTTTACATTAAAAATTGCAAAATTTCAACTAACAAGCAAGTAAACCATTTAGACACAAGTACACATTTGTAAAAAAATTTGTGTCTATATCAACAAATAAAAGAAAAAAACCCAAAAAACAAAAAAACCCTGCTTTATCAATTTATGTTAGCCCTGTGGTTCAGGATACACTTTCCATTTGAAATGTTTTCAAACACTCTTGCCCAGCATGAGCCTCTTCTAATGTGAACTGGTATACAGTCTGTTCTTGACGAAGACGATAGTAGGCAGATGTTGCCTGATGCCCGGATAATGCTGAATGTGACAAAACCAGCGAGATACATTGAGGTATTTCTCTTTTTCTTGAACTGTCAGGTCAACCTAAGTAGAGATTAAAATCACATACATATAACACATACAATATATAAGCACGATTAGTATTATTGCTAGAGCAGGAAAAAGACACCGGGGAGTGGAGAGCTATCAAAAGCCAACACACCTGTTTAATTTTTATATGGTCGGCTTAAAATCAAATGAGTTTTAAAGGATATTTTTAAATTCCCACAAATGCAAAATGTATATTATACCCAGGAACTAGAAGTACCAAGGGAGCTTTCGTGGCTTAGTGGTAAGGAGATACACAGCAATTCAAACCTACCAGGTGCTCCATGGAAAAAAGATGGACAACTTTACTGTCTCTGAGAAGAGTATTCGCCTTTCTATTTTTGTTTACACTAAAGCTGACCTCTATTTTTAGGAGATGCAGTTTACATAACTACCAAGTTGTTAAATAAAATGGGAGTTTATATAATAACAACAGTTTATATACATTTCCATTGGAGTGATGCTGCCATCCCAAAGGCAGGTGATCTGAATACATGAGCTGTTCGGCAGAGAAAGATAGGAAGTTATGAGTTAGTTCCAACTCAATAGTAATGAATGAGTGAATGAGTATTACAAGAATGTCGAGGGAATTGGTTTGAGAAAGAAGTAATAAAAACTATGGATGACTATATTAAGGTTTGAAATTCATAATCCAAGGTAAGTGACTCATGGACTTTAAGACAGACCTAGAAATGGACTCAATTAAAATAAGAGTTACTAGCAGTAGAGCTGGCAGTAACTTAGCAGCCATGGTATGCAGATTAAAAAACTAATAAATTATGACCATTTTGGCATCCCTCTTGATTCTGTCCACTCGTTTGAAGAGGGTGACATCCTAAAAGAGGAAGTTGTCCTTTGGGCAGCGACAAGCATGGGAAAGGTGGTACCCTGCCTGCTAGAATCTCCAAACAAGCTCTCAAGAATGCATATTTTTATATAAGTTAATTTTATATATACATAAAAAAGAATTCATGGTTTCATGTGTGTGTGTGTGTGTGTGTGTGTGTGTGTATCAATGGTATTATTCCCATTAGGTTCAAAATGAAACCTCTTTGGTATGAAGTACACAGAAGACACTTAAATTTTGCGGAAGAAGTGAATGTCATTTCATATTCCAAAAAGCAAAATACATTTTGCATAATAATGACTTTATTGTTCTTTTTCTTACCATATGTTAATTTCACTATTAACTTTAAAGAAAAGATAAGATTTTTAAAAATCACAACCACCAGTGAACCCACCTGGAAATCTAATAAAGGTGTGTTTTCTCACTAAAAAAAAAAAAAATTCAAATCTAACTTTGGCAACTTTCTTCTAGTAAAAGTAAATAGAAATTACACAGTAAGTGTCATTCAAATATGGATTCATGTCACCTGCTAACACATAGATGGTTTTGATGTGGCCAATTTTTTGGGTTTCACCTCCCAATTTAGTTATTTCAAAGATCATTTAATGAAAACAAAATTTCTATTTATTTTATGAGCTGTTACTCTTCAGAGCGAACTAAAATACACTGAGAACAAAGCATTTCCAAACAAAAATTCTTCTCTAGTGCTCAAAGGGGAAGGGCTTAAACTGCTTCTGTAGAAGATCAAAAGCTCAAGGTTCCTTGACTGCTTGTTGATTTTACTGTTCATTCACATTTTAAACCAAGGCTAGATAGAAGGCCAACATTTAATATTTTGATTTTAGGAAGGCAGTATTACTGAAGTTTTAATGGAGCAATGTAAAGTAACATCAAAAGATAACATACAGTGAAATCAGTACACTTCAAACCTATATGTTCATAATTGAGTGTAAGTCTCTAGTATAAAAATTATAAACAGACAGCATAAAATAATTTTCACTCTAAGAGCTTCTAAAGTATATGCTATTTTTTTTTTTAGAATATGCTAACTCCTAGTTTATTCCAACAATTTTTAATTAGATGCCTACTGTTATTATTTAAAAAGTGTGTTAAGGTAACCAATTTTCAAGAACATAAATGTGTTCATTTTCACTTGGAAATTCTGCCAGAAATATAAAAAGCCCTGTATAGGGCTTTTTGAAAAGGGTCAGGTACCACCTCAAGCATCCTCTTAACAGTTTACATTTTGTAGCTAGCACTGTGAATTGTGGAATACTATGACTGCAATGTTTTTGTGCCTTCTGCTCCCCTTTTTCTTGGACATTGTATCTGTGAGGTTTACTGTAAATAAATAATAAAAATGACTTTTCACTCCACCAAGTTTACAGGGCTTCATCATTTCTTTCTAGTTAGCACAAGCAATTACTTTCCTTTCTTATAAAAAACACAATGTCCTTGTTACCATTTTCTGCTGCTTCTTGTTGGTCTTCATAAGGGAACTCTGGTTAAAAGAAGCATCTGGTTGTTCGTGTGAACCCACCAGTCACTCCTGGTGAAAACTTAGCTTCCATCAAGATTTACAGTCCAGGAAACCTGAGCAGGTCTACTCCTACAGGGTTGCTATGAGCTGGAACTGATTTCATGACGGTGGGTATAGTTTGACTTTTGGCTGATCTACATTCCAGTCTATCTACACCAATGTTTGGCTCCTTCCTTTGTAAGTCTGTAATTAGTTTTAGACTGGAAGAAGATACTTTTAACTTGAAAGCTAGGCAGGTAATATTCCAAGTCCTTAGTTTGTGAGAGAAAGTTGGAAGCCTCTTACTAGATCAAAGAGATGCTGAGTGCGGCCTTTCCAACTGGAACATGCTGCCATTTGGACACTGTTTATGGCTCATTTTCTTGGTTTACAGCTTTTTCTTTTATTTTTCCTAAAAAAACTATAGAGCTCCATTTACTCTTCAAACTTCAAAACAAATGCATCCAAGTTGGTAACAATCTTATAATCTAGTACATAATGCTGTTGTTAGGATCATTGGGTTGGAGTTGGTATTGTCTCATACTTAACTCATCCAGTGAGTTTTCAGAGACAGTAAATCACATGGAAGGAGACTGTCCATCTTTCTCCTGCGAAGCAGCTGGTGGATTCGAACCAAGTGTCTCAGGTTTGCACCACAGCAAACCTCTAGGACACAAAAGTTCCTCATACATAAGATTACAAAGGATTTTTGTAATGTTCACAGTCATCATTTTCTACTTGTGAAATCACTTTGAGAAGGCAAGGAGTCATTGGTTTATCATAAACAACCCCAAGAACTGGAAATTTAAGAAGGAAAGCAAAACATAACATTCTTCAAGGGGGTGGAGATTGGAGACAAAAAAAGGGGAGGTGGAGATTAATAAAATTTCATTAAGTGAATGAGGCTGGATGTAAAATTGGGTCCACATCAAGATAAACTGGGACTATATGATGACTCAAAGCTCCTTCACTGTTGATATTTTAATGAAAGTTTACAGAAACTTGGATTTCTATTCGTGTGTTGATAGTGTTAATATTTAAAACTGCGAGCAAATAAAGAATATATGGGTGTGTAAGTCAATATATCACCAAAGCAAATTAAAACAACAACAACAAAAAATATGAACCACAAGCAAAATAAGCCAAATGCCATTTAGTCAAGTCCAATTCAGAGAGAGGGCTATCCATTTGATTTCTGAGGCTATAAATCTTTATATACAAGGGGAATGCCCATCTTTCTCCCATGGAGTGGATGGTGGACTAGAACTTCTGACCCTTTGTGCAGCAGCCCAAATAAGCCACTAAGGCTCTTTCAAAAGCAAACATAATAAAGCAGAGAATGTGCTGAAAGAGGAGGTAGCCAATCTGTACCTCTACTCTTCCTGAACTGAATCCCTTGCAATAACATTTTCTTTCCACAAAAGGCATGGGCAAAAAATAAGGCCTTAGGATTTGATGGAATATTAACTGACATGTTCTGACAAGCAAATGCAGCCCTGTATGTGCTTACCTGGCTGTGCCAAGAAATCTGGAAGCGGTTACCTGCCCAACTAATGGAAGAGATCTATATTTGTTCTCATTCTCCAAAAGGTTAACAAACAGAACATAGAAATTCTTGAATAACATTACTATCACATGCAAATAAATTTTTTTTGTTTTTGCAAATAAAATTTTGCTGAAGATTATTCAAAAGCAGCTAGAGTGCTGAGGAAAAACTACCAGGAATTCAAGTTGGATTTAGAAGAGGCCATGGCACTAGGGTTATCGCAGCTGATGCTGATATAAGATAGATCTTGGCTGAAAGCAGAGATTATCAGAATGTCTGTGTTTTATTGGTTATGCAAAGGCATTTGACGCTGGATCACAAATTATGTGATCCATAACTTTGAGAAGAATGGGAATTCAAGAATACTAAATGGTGCTCATGAGAAACCTGTACGTAGACCAAGAAGCTGTTGTCTGAACAGAGTAAAAAAAAGTGTACGGTTTAAAATCAAGACAGGTGTGCATCAGGGATGTGCCCTTTCTTCATACCTATTCACTCTGTATGCTGAACAAATCCCCTGAGAAACTGGTCTCTATGAAGAATATGACATCACGATCGGAGACCTTTCAACAACCTGTGTTATACAGATGATACAATTTGCTTGCTAAAAGGGAGGAAGACACAAAATACTGCAGAAGATCAAAAACTAGTCTTCAATATGGATTACATCTCAGTATTAAGAAAACAAAAATCTTCACCACTGGACCAATACACAACATGGTAACAGACTGAGAAAAAAAAAATCAAAATTGTCAATGATTTAATCTTACTTGGATCCACAATCAACCCTTTTGGTATCAGAAGTCAAAAAATCAAAAGATGCATGGCATTGGAAAACCTGCTGGCAAGGACCTCTCTAACGTGCTAAGCTCCACCTGATCCAAGCCATGATATATCCAATTACTTGCTATGCACATGAAAGGTGAACAATGGGTAATGAAAACAGAAGAATTAATGCATTTGAGTTGTGGTGGTAAAGAATACTGAATATCTGCCAAAAGAACATTCTTTCTCGGACAAAGTGCTACCACAATGCTTGATAGAGACAAGGATGATGAAACTTCATTTTATATTTTTGGGCATGTTACTAGGAAAGGCCAGTCCTTGGAAAGAGACATCAAACTTGGAAGGGTGGAGGGTTAGTGAGAAAGAAAGGAAGACCCTTAACAAAATGGATTGACATGGTGACGGCAATAATGGGTTCACGTGTATCAGAGACGGTGAGGACGGGAGACGACAGGGCAGGTTCAGATCAGTTGTTCACAGGGTCGCTGTGAGTCACAGTCAACTCTACAACACACACCAACAAGAAGAACGCAAATTTATACTTGACTGGGCAGGGATGTGAGTTAATAAAGCAATTGTTAAGTATGAATTTCCATTTATGAGGCCTGTAATCTGAGGGTGTTTATTCATCCTATGCATGTGAGGAAGACGGGGAGATGCTTTGGTTATGAACTTAGGACATCAACCCAGAGGGGATAGTCAATAGAGTGATTCATAATATTTCATTCAATTTTGTTTTAAAAAGATTATGTCTTTTAATAAAAATATTCTAGTCACAATAATCACTATATATAACGAGGATATACTTTATAAAACGGGAAATACAAACAGGAACAGATTACTAAAGGTTGCTATTACAACCTTAATTTTAACCCAAAAACCAGAATAAAACACTTTTAATTTGCTTGAAAACAAAATGTCTCCTGGGGCACCTAGATTTTTTTTTTAAATTCTTTTATTATGTTTGTGTGTGTGTACTGTCAAATCAGATCTGACTGGTACAGGAGGAGATAGACCCTCCTCCTCCAGCAGAGCATCTGGTGGATTCGAACCGCATACCTCTAGGATTGCAGTGCAACTTCTTGCCACTAGGCCACCAGAGCTCCCTGGGGAACCTAGATTTATATGAACTGTGCACATGGTGACATGACTATATGGAATTATGAACTTGTTAATGCTGATGCCAAAGAAATTCCACATAAGGTTACTTTTCTCTTAACATTATTTCCTTTCCTTACAATCTCAATAAGCCAGAAGACTTTTTTTTTAAAAAAAAACCCAAACAAACAAACTAAAAATATGCACTTGGTTTGCAAGGCTTCATTTTGCCATCATTTTTTATTTCATTTTATTAGAATGGAGATATTTCCTCTGTACTAACTCAATACGCCACAAAGATAGATCTCATGATATTCTCACATTCGATCAGTATCTGATTTGTACAGAATTATGTATGTCATTTCTCCCAATACTAAACTTAACAAAAAGTAACACCAAAATTTCTATTATATGTTCTTTCTAAAATGTTAACAAAGGTGGTGTTGGAGATAGAAACTACTTTGGCAACCTACTGCATGGTCACCATGCCTGTAGCAGTCTTGTTAGGTGGCGCTGAGTACAACTCATAGTGATGCTATGAACAGATCTGAACCCTGTCCTAGCCTGTGCCATCCTCATGATCTCTGACACACTCTAGCCCATCGCTGTAGTTACTGTGTCAATCTGTCTGGATGAGGGTCTTTCTCTCCTTTAATGTCCCTCTCCTAACAACACCTCTCCTAGCTACATGCCCGAAGTATGTAAGACGAAGCTTTATTATTTTTGCCTCCAAAGAGAAATATGACCACACTTTCTCAAAGACATATCTGTTCTTTTGGTAGTCAGTGGAATATTCAGTGCTCTTCTCAAAGGCGTCAACTCTTCTTTTGTCATCCTTATGCACTGTCCAACTCTCAAACACAAAGCAAGCGAATGAAAAGACCAGAGCTTCAATCAGACCCACTTTAGTCTTCAAAATCACAATTTGGAGAGGTTCCTGACAGCGGACTTTACAGACACAAAACATCTTATCTTCGGACTGCTAGTATCAAGGGTTTTGATTGTGGATTCAAGTAAGATGAAATATGGTAATTTCTCAATTGAATTTTCTCAATCTATTATGATGTTACATACTGGTCCAGTAATTCTTGAGGTTGAGATGCAATCTATATTGAAGGTTGTAGTGCTTGATCTTCTGTAGAAGTCTAGTGTCATTTAAATCAACACAAAAACCACATATCCCCTGTACTGTGGAGGCTTTCACTGTTTGAAATGATGTAGGGTGTGCCACAGCATCACTCTTAAGTGAAAAAACTACTAAAATACACCTAGAATAGAATAAAAAGAAGTGTGATAAAAATATTTCAGTATCTCTTGAAGGTTCTTCACATTTAAATATTTAAATTTGAATATTTAAAATTTAAATATTTCTTTAGAACTATACTTAAGTATATAAAGTAAGAATTACACTTTAAATATAGATGGACAACCTAAAATAGGAAATTATTCATAAATAAACAGATAGTTTGGTGTTGCAAATCTTAATCAACAATTCAGAAGAATGAGGCATTGTACTAACAGCTTCGAGGAGGATAAATACATCATTTGTCATCTCTTTATTGTGTTTAAACAGTGTCATCTTTATTAGCATGGGGACTATTTGTCCCACAGCACTCCTGCTGTCTCTATATATATCAGTGGGCTCCGTCTCACAGTCAAATTGTGTTATATTGAATGAGAAATCATGCTCATCCTATTTATATCTGTAGTTCAACCTAGCATAAGATTTTTAAATCTACAAAATCTCTCAAAAAACTGCAGATAGTTTCTTTAGTCTACATCTGACCCTTCTCTTGATTGATCTCAAGGATCAACCCTGGACTACATGCTCTCTTATTCACTAATTATTTTCTTGTAAAAAGATTGTATTTATTCAATGAGGTCAACAATTCCTTAAAACTAGCCTGAATCAAATACTGTACAGGACCATTATTGTAAAAATAGAAAGATTACTAGTAAGATGTGTACAAAGGTCCATAAGGGGAACGGAAGGGAGGAGGGCGTATGAGGGTGGGAAGCAGTGAAAATCATGAACTTGCAGAGTTTGGATGAGAACAGTACAAAATTCAGAAACACAAATGGGCTCTTTTTTCCTACATGGCAAGATTCAGTAGCAGGTGATAAGGAACTGAGGAGTTTTCAGATAGAGATACAGATGCTAAAATGCACCAATTTCAGAGCAGACTACCTGCTTTCCAGACCTGACCTCTCTGCCTCAGTTAGGAACTCTAGTAGTATTATGATTAAAAGCATTTAGTCATTAATCAAAAGGTTAGCAGTCTGAACCCACTAGTCATTCCACAAGAGAAACATGAGGCAAGCTGTTTCCATTTATACAGCCTTGCTAACCCTATGGGGAATTCTACTTCTTTTCAACAAGATTACTATAAGGTAAGGTCTGCATCAATAATAGCACTGGATCCAGTATGTGTTAGTTTCCTAATCTGGAAAATGGGAATCTAAATAATTATTTCATTGGACTATTACAAGAATTAAAACACTTACATTTATAAAGCAGATAGAATACTGCCTAAAAATAGTTCAGAGTTACATAAGTATTTGTAAATAAGCTTCATTTAAGATAGAACACAATGTATAGTAAAGGGACTGACCAAACAGAGGAAAAAAATCCTGAAACTCTTGAGAAAGGACATTGAATTTAAGACAAGTTCTGGAAAGCACACAGAAGGAGGCAAATGGCTTAGTCCAGGACAAAAGCAAGATGGTCCATTCTTAGATGAGAAAAAGGAGACAGGCTGGATGAAGATGTATAAGACAGAAGACCAGAAGACTAGGGGATGTAACAGACAGCTGTACTAATGAGGAAGGTCATCTGGTCATGCTTGAGACGGAAGGGGACAAAGAGGGATGGGTCCAAGAGAAGAGGCTACAGTTGGGAATTTTCTGAGAAGGAAAGAAAAATCAGTATGAGAGCCCAGCTGAAACTGGGCTCCTGTAGTAGCACCACTGGAGCTGTGTAATTTCTCCAAGATATCACATCTT